TCTAGGTCATTGGGGCCTAAGCACACACGCATAAGGGAGATGATTTTTCATTGAAATCTGTTGGCTCCTCTGTTATGAGACAGACTACTGAAACATTCCACTGTTGGAGGGAATTTTGCGTTACCCATGCTACACTGCTGTCCTGTCCCCTCTCCTGTCAGCATGGGGATAGCATCGTCACACTAGGACTTTTTTCGCTCCTCCCACCAAAGAACAAAACAGATTGATCGTGTACAGCACAGTACAATACAAGCAATCCTCCACAGCGTTGCTAGAGACAGACAGGCAATAACTTCTGATCTAATCTTTAAAAGTGCTTTTGAGGATATGTTGTTTTACCCCCAAGCAAATGCATGTGTGCATTCAATGTACAAGTACACAGGGAGGATTTAACATACTTAATGCATACGGCACAGTCATTGATTTGCGTAGAATCTGGATATTCAACTATGAGAAGAGCTGCAGTCTGTTTTAAAGCTCGTCATGCTTTACCTCCATTACTCCCCACACTTGGCCCTTGTCTAGATTGAATGATCAATAATTATCTAACCTCTCTCCAAATTGTTAAGCCAGTTATTTTTTACGTTGTTGATGTTGTAGCTTTATTGGTGTTGTATGAATATGAATTTGTAAAAAAAAATTCTTTTACATTAGCGTGCCATGGAATAGAATGACCTGTAAAAATGAATTAATCAAAAATGTACCAACTATACCTTTAAAACCATGGTCACCTGCACAAAATGAATGTAATACGTGACCTGCGACATTTGAAATGGCTTTAGATCTTTCTCAGTGGGTGACCATTCATTTAATTTCTACACCGTTTGTGGCCATGCATGATGCAATAATTATACATCTGATCTCCAGCAAAATCCCATAATGTAAGAGAGAAATAATGTAAAATTACCACTATCCTCATAATTAGGGGATATCAAATAATTGCTATTTTCTCAAATGAAACATCCAGTTAAGAGAAGCCCTGTATGCGCAACATTGTGGAAAATGACTTGATGTGTATGATACCTTTGTCTTTTGCTCTGTTTCACATAACCAATGTTTTGTGTGTTTTATAAGAAAGGGGAATCAGAAATGTGAGCATTAACGTAGATCGAGTGACCTTACAATTACCAAAATGTGCTTAAGTAGAGTGTAAAAATGTTTTGTGTTGTTGAGGTGAGCATAGCCTTCCCAGCTATCGACTTTATTGTTAGAGTACTGCCTTCCAAATAACCAACAATACCTCCAAAGGTTCAAGGTGACATTTAAATTAGAGAAAAGTAAATAAGGCAGTATCCCACCCTGAAGTCTGGCATTCTCCTATAAAATACACTCAAACATATAACTTTGCTTATGGTGTTATCGTGAATACTCCTCCTCCTCCTGGAACTTCTTAGAAACATTCCTGAGAGCAAGATGGCACACTGTGCTACATTAGTCTTCAGACAAACTTCTTCGAGGTGATTTGAAGCTCAGCAAGAAGTGAACTGACAACCCGCAACATCAACCTGCACACACGTACAGTGTAAATCGTTTGGCAAAGTTGCAGCTGCTTCCCAAAGTACAAAGGGGTTAGGAACAGGTGTTAGGTGGATTAATCATGAGCTGATGTACTGTCTGTCACCAGGAAATTCATAATCTAGTTACACAAGCATTCTTAAAGCCCTTTTGGATGAGTGTATGTTTTTGTTTTTTTTAACCTTTGTTGAGGAGATCTGCTCCTTTTGCTGGCTATTCCTTGGGAGAATTCAGGGTGAGGTGGTCAAGGTTTGATGCCATCACTGATAGAGGCTGTCAGATGATTACAATGTATGAATTTAAGAACCAAAACTGATTCAAATACAACTGCTTTCCTACTATCTTCATTAATTCTAATTTGTTTGAAACCAAGCAAGGATATGGATTAATTTATACCACCTTAAATCCCCAATTTTCTGTGTTTGTAAGATGTTTGGTCTGACTTTACAAAACTGAAAAATTTAGTTTTACCCATCTTACTTTCAGAGAGATTTCTGGCTAAAGATGGCTGTTTTTGTGGTGTCAATAAATGGAATCTAGAAGTGGTAGACCAAAGCTACAATTAAAGTAAGATTTGCCCATTTACACTACAAAAATATTCACCCTCAGCTAGAGGTCAGGTTAAAGTCACAATCCCTTTTAGTAAATTCTAACAGTAAATTAGTGTAGCTCAATTGCTAAAACAGCTACTTGCACAACTATATTCATTCAAGTGTTATATCAGTTTATTTACATTTTCTAAAAACCTAAGAGCGCATCAAACCCTGACCCCCTTTTGTGTCCATTGCTGTATGGTTTCTCAATGGTGTAAAATCTCATTCTTTGTCGATAAAGCTAATGTGTGCTGCAGTATTTCCTAGTATATTTCTCTGTTAATTGTCTTTTCTTATTTACTTTTTGTTTATTGGGGTGTGATGTCTCATTATTTCAATCTGTTGATGTAGCGTTCTATGTATACCCTGTTCCTTAGCTTAATATTATTAAGTATGTTATGAGAATGGATATTTTACTGGCTTTATAGAATGTTTAAATAAATATAATAATGACAATAAGAAGAAGGATTAATTAAACCTCCTAACAAGTTGAGTACTTGCTACTAAGCGCTTGTGTTACCATTATGATGTTGTGTGCTTCTCTTAATCATTTTCGTTGTAGAAAAATGGAGTGAATTTATATTAGGCTTCAAAAAAACTAATGATAGCATTGTAAATTTTACAGGAGGATTTTAACAGACAAACAGCTTCGTCAAATAGAAGAATATAGTTATTTTAATTGTCCTCTTTACTAACTGTAGGGTGAGAAGGGGCTCGCGTTGTGGTGAACTATGTTATAGCTTGTTATTCACTGTTACTTTTGATCATTTTTTCGGTCTCCGAGGTGAATCGAGTTATTAATGAGAATTTGTATGCTCACATATGCATATTGTATATGTGTAGAAATGTAATCACACTTTGTCTTGGATTTACATTAAACTGTTAAGTCACGGCACCAGTCTCTTGTTTTATGCTGTGGTGTGTGTATCTGTGTTTTGGTTTGTGGTGAGTGCTTAAGCATATAACTCTAAGCAAATAAAAATATACAATAAGTGTTCTTCACACCATTATTCCATCATGACATTTAAAGGCCATGCACAGAGGTGTTTTCACTTCTTCTGTCTGATTAGACCTAAGTTTGATTTTGGGAGGAGCTGTCCTAGGAATTACATGAGGTCACCAAACTACATGTAACTATTATAGTGATTTAGTTGTCAGTTGTCCTGCAAGTGAAAACACCTGTGTTGGTAGACCATGGTTGTATAGGGGCTTCAGTGTGTTCAACTTACTATATTTCAGGACCAAAGGATTTATTTTATTAAGCTATTTGAAGCAGGCTTTTCTCCTTGGTAAGAGGTATTTTGGATTAGTGGTCAAAAGAACCATCCATCACCTTAAATTCCTGTGTTGGTAAGCATACAGCCTGTCAAAGTGGCCCTGAGCAAGACACTGAATACAGTAGTGGAAGAAGTATTCTATTCCTTAACATAAGTATAAATAATTTACTATATAAAAAAGTGTAAAAATCCTAAATGGATAAGTCCAAAATCATTGAATATTAAAAGTGAAAGTACTCATGATACAGATACATACTGTGAGTTAAAGTGTAGGATTGTTAGTTAATGTGCAAATTGCATGATATTGTAATAGCTGGTCGAGGAAGAGATATTTTATCTTTATATACTGATGGGTATTTCAATCTATAACAATATGTTGCTTAAGCTCATCATATTGTACATTTTGTGTGTACAATCTGAATCTGGAAAGTAACAAGAAGCCATAATTATAACTTACAAATAAATGCAGTGGAATAAAAACTACAATATTTGTCTCTGGAAGGCAGTGGAGTTGTAATAAAATAGTATAAACTGATAATAGGTAATTCCACTACAGAGTGAGTACCTGGCAGCTCTTTTATAAAATTATTAAGTCATATAGAGACATTTAACTATGTAATTTTCCATTCCATTTGATATAATAGCACATACAATACCAACTAAATGTGATCAAGCATTACTAGCTATACTGTTATTAGTTATAAGATACTGCCACTAGGTGGCGGTGTGCACCGAAATGTTGATGCACATAAACTGGCACTGACGTGATTAGGTTATGCTGATCATCTCCATTTATTTTCAACCACAAAACCTTGCTAAGCACGGTGTTTACAGCATGCATCAGGGGCCCATATCTCAGCCTCTTTTAAATGTGGAACCTGGACAGAAATCATGCATAAAAATAGAAACTCAGTGTGCATCCTTGGTGTGTCTTGACAAGTTAAGTGCACATAACAAATGTTCTTAAATAGGCTTATAAATGTTGGTGGAAATTCTAAATTAAAAGACGTATGGGAGTACAACAACCAGTAGGCTGTACTAAAAAAATAAAAACCCTTCCAGAAAAATAGATGGTGTCACTTTGATAACTCTTGTTCTGATTTCCCTCAGCATGACAAGTAGATGAACTCCATTCAGCCAATGAAAAAGGCTGACAGTGATATATCCTTCCATGGCTATACCTTGCTTAAAAGTGCATCATCGCATGAGGCAACGTTGCCGTGGAAGCCGCAGACGCCAGCCGAGGAGGACCAACCTAGTTTTTTAAAACCCCCACTTTGACGGAAAAGAGCAGCAGCCAATGAGAGCGCGTTTCGATAAATTAGAAAACTAATCAGATCAGCCAGGGGGCGGGGCTAACCCAATCCTCAGGACGAGAGAAGGTAAACTGTTAACCAAAAGAGTGTCAGATGAAAGCCAGCTCCCAGCTCATACACAGTGCGTTTACACTGAGATAACTTCAGGTGGTCACACGAAGGTTAATGACAGAGCCTCAGACAGCTTTTAATTCCACCCACGGATATTTTCTCGTCACCCAGACAAAGGAATTGACAGAGTTGGTCCTGTCTCTCTCTCCTTTTTTTTTTTTTTTTTTGGTAAGTCTGAATGCGCAGCTATGAGCAAGGGCTGACAGGAATGGCTGGGGGGAAAGGAGGAAAGAAAAAGAAGAAAAAAAAAAAAACGTATTATCCTTGCTCTCAAAGCTAGCTTGGGGAAATACTACCAAAGTGTGTTGGCTGTGACCTGTTTCAAGCGTTTTGCTGTGTCACTCACATGAGGGGATGTAACCTGCTTTTGTCTAGCCTTGTGGAGAGCCATGACTGTTAAGTTGCAAGTAACGGGACGGGATGTAGGACAAGAGACTGTACTGATGAGACCCTTTGAGAGAGCGACTGAAAGCTAGCCACACAAGCCGGGGGGGGTGAAGTCCGTGCTGGGTCTTTGTGGCGTCCTCTTTTGCCTTTTTCCATCACGTTACACGTTTATACGCCTATGGGGAGTTAGTTGGATTGTTTAATCTCGATTAATGGGATAATAATTCCTTACTTGTGGTTAGTTGACGAATGTGATTAACGTTAACTTGTAGTGACCTGGTTGGCCATGTGCATGAAATGTGGCTCTCACAACATAAAACAATCCTATGTGCACCAGTTTTTATTATTTATTTTAACATGGGGTTGGGGGAGTTTTTTTTTTTATGTAATTCTACTTCTGTGTGTCTAAGTTGTGAGATACATATATATATGTATTTATTTTTTTACAAATACAAAGTGCCAGTGTAGGCAACATCATGCAAAATGTAGTAAGTTGCCTACCAATAAAATAGAAAATAGAAATGGTACATTTCCTATGAACGAAATAATTTAAAAGTAAATTCTAGAAGAATTATCTCCATCTGCATCTTGATTAAATGAGTATTTCTGTTAATACAGGTGTTACAAGTAGTGTCATTATTGTGTGTTTTGGAATAATCCATAATCAAATAAAGGTTTTGAATAACACAAAAAGAGCGTGTGCCTACGTGTACTTCAGTTTAGCCTGTGGAGTGATGGTCAAGTATTAACAGTAAATGTGGTTGCTTTGTTTTGAGTGTCACACTGTTGCTCTTTTGTTTTCAACAGCCTTTCTTCATTGCGAGCACATGTTACTGAAGGAGGGGCCTTGAACTAAAGGAGACCAAACCACGCAGCCTGAAATAACCCAAACCTTCACTGTCTGGAATGAATCTTGTCTTCTTAACTGGGTGAAATGCCTTGACCTTACCCTCGCCGTACCATGGCAGGTTTAGTCTCCTCTGTGGGTTTGGTGGTGATGCTACAGGCTCTTATGCATGCCCATGGCCAGCGTGCAGTGTTTCTGGGGATGACGGTGTTGGTAATGGTGATCGCAGCTGACTCAACGGTTGCAGGTAAGAGAACACCTTTTTCTGACCCACACAACATGATCCACTAATTTGTACCTTGTGTTACATAACTGACACTGATCAGTACCAGTATTGTATGTCGTTCAGTTAGCTTTTTAGAAGAGCATTGATATGACAAGTGATAGACACCAAGTTCAAGTTGCACCTGTAAACCAAAATTAACATGAATGTTTGTTGTTGTAGTATAAGATGTGGTGAAGTAATGAATATGATATTTCTAGTGAAGTAAGGTCCAAATATTGTTATACGAACCTTGCATGTTTATGGCTTATATCACTTAATCTAACTGAACTGCTACTCAAATTGCACTAAATTGAAAGAAAACACGATTACCACGTAAACCTTTTGAGTATGTGTGTGCGGAGAAATGTGTTGATGGCATCAAAGATCCAACATAGGTGTAATCAAGATCTTTGTTTTGATGTATTAGTTTCTGGTAATGGTTACCTTCTCTTGTCCTGAGGATTGGGTTAGAGATAAATCCTACAGCCATCTATCCATTCTCTGCACTGCTTGTTCAATGCAGCATTGCAGCAAATTACCTAAAAATCTTTACCATCTTTATTTTTTGCTTTAACCTTTCATTGCTTTAAAGTATGGTTTGGTGGGCATGAATGCACATTTCAGCATTACTTGACACACAGTCACATCTAAGAGATGCTTAGGACAACCGCAGTCTTGTCTGTGGGCCACTGAGCAGCTGCACTGGAGCAATTGGGGGTTATTATGTCCCTCGCTCAAGGCCAACTTAACCATCGACCTTCCAGTCATAAGCTTGCTGCCTTAACTTTCAGGGCCACTGTTGACAACTTTTCTATTTAAAGCTTGTCATCCCCTCAATAAGAAGAAATTACATGACAGGTTACATATAGTCCTAATAGTGCAACTTGTGTTTTTTGCCTTTAATTTAGTGTTGAAACCAGTCTATGTCTGGTAGTTTATCTCAGCATGGACTCACTAATGTCTTCATTTTCATGTGACTAAAGCCTCGGCTGCTGCATGACCTTGGGTAGTTGTGATATTCATAATGAAGACACTTACTTGATTCTGGATTTTCACAAGAGATGAAGTGGCTCTCCCTACATTACACAGACACTAGAGTTAAACCAATTTCCAGTAATTAAAGAAAGAGAAAGGGTCTAATCCATCCACTTGATTGGTGTTTTCATGGGCTTACTTTTATAGATAATGACATGATCCCACTAATAGCCCTCCCCCTACACATCACCCAGTGGAAAGAACACGTTTTAAGAGCAGACAAAAACTCATGATATTACATTGTAATGGGATTATGTCGTAAATGCCTGGGTGAAAGCCTTGTGCGGGAAATTAGTAAATCTTAAACTCATGCTCTTATAACACGCCCATTTCACAACTTTTTAATTTAATGACCAATAATGTGGGCTACCTACTGTCCTCAGTTTACTGCTAATGCATATGTGTTGTAGTCATATTTCAGATTTTGTTAAACTAGGGACCCAGTGTAGGCAAAATATGTCATAACGTAAACTATAAACAATTTCAAATGATTGCATAATTTTTTAAGTTTTTATATATTTCCTGTTTCTGCCGTTTTGTATTTGCTCGTCATACTCAATCAGCTGGATGTTTGTTAACTGGTTTACATTTAGTCTTCCTGTAGAGATGGTTCTCTTGATGCTAGGATGGGCTTGTGGTGGGTGGTATGGCCACTAATGATAACAATCCTAACTCGAACACTTCTATATACATAGAAATGACAAAGATGTTTCTATGGCTGTTTATGCTCAGGGTTTCAACTGCACATTTACTTATAAATAAATAATATATGTATTCTAAAGTGTATTTTGACACCCATGTTTCATCTTGATGTGTCAGTGACAGTGACTTAGCGAGTGTGGCTCAATCTATGTAATAGAATGGGAAAAATTAAAAGTTAACACACATTTACTTTGCTTTTTTCATGTTTTTCTGTATTGTCGTAGAATACTTAAATTGGATTTATCAGGTTTGTTTTATCTCTTAGTGGAAGACATCTTCTGCCAAAGCAGAGAGGTTGGTTTTGGTTGATATTTCCTCATGGTTTTTGATGCTCACACTTCACTAAATACCCCACTTTGAGAAGCATATTATAGGCAGTTCTCCTGTGGCAGACTGCAGACCACTGCATCACATGAGAATAGATTTGTAAGCCATGGTTTGGACAGATTTCAGACAACTTCATGCTGTTTTGAATTAGCCTTTCATATTAGGCACTCTAACTTTGGCGAACATTATTCTTGCATAATGGGGGCATCAAGGATGGGTATTTTTTTAAATTTAAGAATAATAATTGTCCAAATTACAACACTCTACAAAAGGAGTCGGTGGTTTAACAGTTGTATTGTAATCTGTCCTGTAGTTTAGGTGTGCAACAATAGTTGGAATTTGTGAAGTACATTTAGTGTACTGCCTTTTACAGTTAAAAGTTTGTATCATTCTTTACCAGTATGTTGGCCCATACACTGGGATACCTAGTACTTCATCACACTGTTGATTTTTACGAGCGAAATAAGTTAAAAAATATAACTTTTTTGGTATGTATGGATTTATTGAATAAAGTGAGATAAGATGTGAGACATGTTCCTTTGACTGTTGAGTCAGTATTATACAGAACTAACTTAGTTAAGCAAAGAACAAACACTGTTTCTGCCTGTTGCACAAAAGTACAGTTTTAAAAAAAACTGCATTACTTGTATGTCATGTGAATTTGTTACAATAGTACTAGTTATTGTATGACATGAGGGGCTCATCATCTTTGCCCATCTATCTGCAGTTTGCTTAATTCATGCATTGAATGACAACTGTGTTTCCATGGTCTGTTTCAAAAGTGAAATCATCAGTCACACAGCTTTCTTCTTACAGACTCAGAAAAGTACACTTTATAGTTTCTAGGTCAAATAGAGCATGGCGACCTACGTATAATTGTTCCTCCAGACCCGACATCATACAGTAATTTTCCTCTTTCTTGCTTCCTTGCTTCTCTTGGTCTTTCTGGTCCTCTGCTCAATTTCTGTGAAAGAAATAGTTCTGCATCTATACCCTAGATCAAAGAGGAAAGATCATTGCAAATATGTAGGATAAAATTAGAAACTTTACATATGATATCATAAAGTGCTCTTGCAATTTCACCTCAACAAACTCCCTCTGCACTGCAGTGGCTGGCAAGTTCAGCACAGCGAGCTGCAGGCCAGTAGAGGCTTGGCTAATTACCAGTGCAGTCCGTTGCCATGTGAAATGTGATCTGTGTGGGATGACAATATGGCCATTCATTATTCATTAGAGCTGGGACCCCGTTGCAGATCAATGGGTAGAACCTATCAAGAGCCAAACAGTGGGCACTTTTGCTCTCACAATGCCTGCAGCTTGACCAGAAAGATCTATTGGAAAGCAGCCTGTGGCTGACCCTGAAAGCTGGTCTGCTGGTCACGGGTGGGTCAATAACAGCAGATAGATATATTTTAAAAACTGCTTTTTAATGTTAGTCCTTCACTTGCTAATCTGCATCTATCAGTATCTTTTTCTGATATCACATCCACATGCCAAAGTTATCATACAGTCAGCTATTTTAAGGATGGCTGCAGTCTCATTTACCTAATTTTTTCCAGTCGTCCGCTATTACCTGCATCATACCGGTAGGTTGTGATGTGAAGGTACCATAGTGGGGGCCTGTGAATGTACATCTGTTTGTGATTTTGTGTACCCATTTTTAAGTTTTACCGAGGCAGTTTTCCACTGCAGTTTTAGCATCCTACAAGTGTCCAAACATAGCATAAATAACAAAAGTTAGTCTTGTTACCATGCGATTTAGCATTATTTAGGGGTTTAGAGATTGCATGAATTTGTAAGTAAGCTGTTCTTGTTCAAATCTGCTGTAAAACTGTAAAATATTTCTCAGACTGTGATAGAAACTGTTCTTTTGGTGTTTGTTGGTACACAAGCATGCAGTAAACTTGCATTTATCACAAAAGGATTGGCCTGACAGTGCTTACAGTTTCTTGTGCTAACAGCCTGTCAGTGTTGGGAGCTTGAACTGTGCAATGCAAAGTTCACAATTTGACAGAAGGCAACATTGAGGCCATATTGTGCTGAGCCCAAATCACTCTGTGCTCTGATGAACTACAGCCGATTATTTATATATTTGTCAGAGCAGATGGTGCGGTTCAGCCCAGCCTCTTTTTCACTACTCCAGTCCAAATCACTTTGGTTGTGACCAGGTTTGGACCTTTCAACATCACAGCAATTACTTAGAAACAGTGAGTATTTGCTAAACCCTGCACAGACCATTCCCCTTTTTTTTGCTCACATATTGACTTTTAGAAAACCGATTCCTTCCGAGAGAAGCTTAACCTAACCAAGTACACAGGACTTGAAGCCGGAGAGTACTCTGTGCTGGGAGGACTCAGGCAAAGTAGAGGAGGGTGCTGAGTGACACAGTCCTCTGGGCTTCTCTGGTTACAAGACTTTGCCTTCCTGTCTTTTCTTTCAAAGAAAATCAGGACTGCAGAAAGCGAAGTTTTGTGTTTGTCTGGTGTGTGTCTGTGTGTGTGACACATTGGCACTGCACCATCATAATCCACTCTTGAAATTGGTTATACCATCGTAGCAATGAATTCTGGGGAGACCCCTGTGAGCTTAGCTTGTATGTCTATTGTGGTGCTTTTATGAACTTAAGTCCTTAAATCTGTTACACAGTAGGCCAAGACTCACTTAAAATGTTTAGGAAAAGTCACTTTTCGTTTGTAGCTAACTGTACCTGTAACTCAAACTCCCTCATTCTTCCTCTGCTGCCTCTCTTCCTCTTTCTCAATTAGACTCTCATACTACACCCCTCCCCCTTATCCTGCTCCCCCACTTTTTGCACTCCCTTTTCTCATATCTTAAAAACTATTCCCTCAGGAAAACAAAAACAAGGGTCACATAAATATTTGATGAAGTGCAGGCACAACCTCAGTCAGGTCTCCATT